ATCGATTTCATGGTTTTTCCCCCAATTGTTGGTTTGGAATTTTAGGAGATGGAGGAAAGGGAGAAGGTAGTGAAGCACATGTGGGACGTTTACACAAATAACCGACGGATCAGGTTACCGCGTTTCTGGCAAGAGGCGTTCGAGGCTGCGTACGAGGACCTGACCAGTGAAGTGCCGGGTGATAGAGAGGCTGCTATCTCCGAGATCGCCCGGATGTCCGTGCACTCCATTGTTATCGATGCGACTTCGGAGCAATCAACGGTTAGTTAATTTCTTTCTCGTGCTTACGTTCTAATCTCGGCTGCCTCTGCTGATGATCTTATCTGCTTAGCACATAAAACGGTATCTAGGGCATTTTATGGACTATAATTCCAAACCAGGAACAGTGGAAGTCGAGTCTTTTTCCCGTTCCCAAGTTTGAGTGTCGCAATTATAATAATCACAGGTGGGAAGTTGTATTAACACTAAATGCTAATGGTATGGCACGCCCACCCCACTAACTTTGAAGTTGGTCGTATTCTTCATAATTCATCTGAGATTGAACTTTATTGGACGAAGAGCGACTATAGTAGAGGGGAGATATCATGTTTCTTAAGTACCTCTCCGTGTGTGCGGGTGGGGGGAGAATGGTTTCAATTTCAGTTACTATTGCAGTTTTGCAGTTGACTTTGATTCTCAATGAACTTGTACGAGGGTAGGAAATGATACATATAACGTTTAACATGATACAACAGTCAAATATTGCTTATAGGAATAATGTTTAAGAGGAGATGCGAGGAAGGTGCTTATGGGGAGTTGGCTTACCAGCATTTCCTGTGCTGCGTGTTTTGCAGATTTATAACAAGTTTGCACCATCGCACATTAATCTTTTTAGAATAATGAACTGCTCGATTATCTAGTGCAACCCTATGTCTCCATTCGAGGAATGGGATCCTAATCTCGACTCTTGATATCTTTGCCTATTCAGAAACTTGGCCATTTGGATAAATGTTAGTCATTTAAGATAAATTTTCCCATGCATAATCAGCAAAATTGGTTGTCTTTACCAAAGGCTTGATATATAGTATACAGCATGCCTAGTCAATTGCTTCATGAGATTCGCAAGGGAGCAAGGATTGACATGTCTTAAGTTTTGCATCAGATTCACATTTGGTTCTAAACCTCCCTCTATAACCAATTGGATGGCTGGATAGCCACTCAATTGTCATCCTCTCTATATCTGCTTGATAAAGAATTATAGCGGTCTGAAATAGGAAACTACAGTTCATTCTTCAATGATCACTAGCGTATGAGAGCCCTGAGGTTTATTATCCTCCATACCACCCTGCAGCCTAAAAAGGATCAAGATCTTTAGTCCATTTTGCAAAAAATATAACTGTTTTGTAGAGGTGTGATCTGGTGATTTACAGAGGTTAAGGTTATCTTTTACAGTGTACTTAAAAATTCTCTGACTTTTTTCTTTCCAAATAAGCCTAACAGATGGCCCTCACGGCACAACCCTACAGAATTTTAGCTTTTCCGTTAAATAAAACTCTCCCAGGTTATATAACATGCATTCACTAGTTTTTTGTTTCCAAAACTAAACAATTGTGACTCAACTCCCAAGCAGTTCTCAGAAATCTCCAATATGTTATTGATGCATGGGCTTTGTTTATGATTGGTGGGAGAACTTGATAGGACAGACTTCCAGGTTGAATAGGTTGCAAACAAGTAAATGAAATCTTGCTCTGATCAAAGCTTATGCTTTTCAGAGATGATGCACTAGTGAACATTTTATCAGGAGTGAGGGAAAGTTATTGATTCTTATTGGCAGTAATTTACTCTAGTGAGATGTAGACATTTTAGGAGATTTGATCTTTCACTGGTAATGTTAAGCATATCCTCAGATTTCATTGTAAAAACTATTGCCATAGCAAGTTTCCATTTATCGCATATTGTCTCATATTGCTAATATCCGTGATGATTAGAACAGATGCAAACATGGTAATTAGTAATCACTGACTAGAATGCATGTTCTGGACCTTCTGGTTTCTTTTGTGCTCATGAGACTTTTGTTGTCTCTTTTTTTTTAGGGTAAAACTTTGTCATATTTTGTTCTAGCATCTCAAAACACCTCATAATATCCTTAACTCTTGAGGAGGATACTGAAATTATGCTTGGGAAACATTTCTGTTTCTTTGTATTTGGCTTGCCTTGTCAAGCTTTATAACTTTAATGCTCTGTTATTTTCATATATTTATCATCAGAGTGCACGAGGGTTCGTTAAGATGCAGAAAATAGCAGATAAAAACAGGGAAACAGCTACCACGACTGGGAGTAAGCTGTGACATGGATGATGTTCACTCTGATCCAAGGTTCGAGGCCTCTCTATTCTGCCCTTTCTGCCGCTAGATTGCTGTCTGGAGTTTGTAGGAGGCAGTGACTGGCAAATCTACATTCTTTAAAATTTTGATTTTTCCCCCTTTGTTTTACAGTATTGCAAGATGGGTCAAACAACCTTTTTGCTTAGAATGTTAGAGTGATATTTGTTAATGGTATTTATAAAGGTGAAAGATAAGTTTTGAAAGTTTCATATTCAACGATCTTTTAAACAGGTAGAAGAGATCATATAAATTATACTTCCAACCCATTGGTTGCATATTTTTACAGTTCTGTCTGCATTTCTGTGATTCCCCTCTGCGATTCAAACTTTGGATAATTATAATACCGGTACTTTGTCTGAGTGTGAAGTCTATATGAATGAATGTTTCATATGATAGAATTATGCATCAAGTGAAACTAATGAAACTGCATTGAGTAACTCTTTTAGTGGATTAATCATGTTCAACTTCAACCTTCAGAGTTCCATGTTTCAGCGTATTGTATTAGGTATTTAGGTGCAGGTTTTTCCCTGAAAGAGGTTTAATGAAATGCATAGCATATGGAAGGAACGTTCAGAATATGCGTGTAATAGTAGTGCTTTTGATTTGTTTTAAAGTGCTTTTTTGGAATGCGTCCAAACTCCAAACAAATTTTTGCATCTTTTCTTAAAGGACAGATCGGAGTTGTGTGCTACACATGTTTAGACTGTTTAATGGGTCTTACTATTGGGATTAGTAATCATGTGATGTGATCCCCGCTAGCTAGAGTGATTAACTAATGGGTGGAAAAAAACGAACCTCTTCAAAATTGGAATGTTTCTTTTATAAAATCGACCATTCAGAAAATGCATAGGGAAACAGAAGGTTGTGAAATTTCCATTTGAAATGATAATTACGAAAATTAAAGCCAATATTATTTCGGATTTCTCCTTTTCAAAACTTAGAATGACAATGAAAATATCCTTTTTTTTATTTAAAAATATCCTTAATCAATTGAACCACGTTTAAATTAACAATAAATATATTATTTTAATTCGTGTTCTCTATACAAATGACATCTTATTTATATTGTTATAGTCCATAGTTGCATCACATGTCATAGACTTCTAGATAAGAAATCAAATACACTTATTAATACCGATGTACGTCATACTTCACTTTTTCAACCTCGTGGTACTTTCTTATCCCTTTTGTTGGTCTCTTAATCGTTAATAAAAAAAAGTCTTATGTATTTGTATTTTCAAGTCGGATTCAATAAGGCTCTTCCTTGCTTTAATCTTCCACGTGTTTTTAGGTTCACATTATTGGTATCATTCTTTTTATTAATTTTCATATCCTTCCTCTAAAATTAATTTAATCATACGGGAGAGGTAATTAGTAATAAAATAAGTTGCATAAATTTTTTTAGTACAATAAATTGGAGGTATGGAATTCAAACTTCCAATTTGAGGAAAAAAGAGTATCTATCAATTAAGACAGAGTTAATATTGGTACATTTTTGGTCATTCTCTTGTTCAAACTTTGATGAGATTCATGGAGGTAGAACCTATTAAAATTGGAAGGGTTGAAGTACAAACTTTGAAGTAAAATAACCAAATGTGTGTGAGAGGAAATGAAATAGTATTTTAACCTAAGAATCATATCAAAAACGCAGGCGATGCACTTGGCTCCCTCGAATCGGATTGAGATTATACGATCACTCGCTACCAAACAGACGCGCGCTGAAACGTTGGCAGCACTGTGACAACAATGAAGTGCCCGTACTGTTCGGCGGCGCAGGGGCGGTGCGCCACCTCGAGCTCCGGCAAGTCCATCACGGAGTGCATTTCCTGCGGCCGTGTGGTCGAAGAGCGCCAATTCCAGCCCCACCATCTCTTCCAGCTTCGCGCTCAAGATAACCCCCTTTCCCTCGTCACCTCCGACCTACCAACCCCTCCGCTCCACCACCAGCACGATCAAGCTCTGGATCCTTTCGAGCCCACAGGCTTCGTTACGGCCTTCTCCACATGGTCCTTGGAGCACAGTCCCCTCTTCCTCCGCTCCTGCTTCTCCTTCTCCGGCCACCTCGCGGAGCTCGAGCGCACCCTAGAGTCTACTTCGTCATCTAATTTGCCGTCTTCATCCACGGTTGTGGTGGATAATCTTAGGGCTTATATGCAGATTATCGATGTGGCTTCTCTTTTGGGGCTGGATTACTATATTTCCGAGCACGCGTTTAAGTTGTTTAGGGACTGTTGCTCCGCTACTTGTTTAAGGAACCGGAGCGTCGAGGCGCTTGCCACTGCTGCCCTTGTTCAGGCTATTAGGGAGGCGCAGGAGCCCCGAACCCTTCAGGTCTATATTTCACTTAATTGTGTACTTCTGACAGTTGTTTGGTTCTTGCTTTCATTGTGATATGTTTTGATAATCTCGCATTACGTTCAAGAAAATTTGAGGAAATTCACTGTCAAGTTGAATCGAGAAATCTGTGCGGCTACTGTCCGTGGATGTGTTTCTTTGATAGTTGTCCACCCTATGGCTTTCATTGTCAATCTGGTTATTACTTGTTATAAAAAACTTCGTCGTGTGAAATATTTATGCGTTTGGTCTCTTTGTTTGTAAAGTACAGTCGTTTCTCCATAGTTGGAATTTCTCTGATAGCTAACTGGTGCAAGTACGGTTTGTTTCGTTTCTCATTTATTTATTTTCTTTCTCATGAAACTAGATGCTTGAGACGTCAATTTCAGACAATCTCAAAAAATAATTGTTAATACTTTTTAAATCAACTTTTGCATGGATCTATTTGAAGTTCTTTAAAAGGGTCAATGTAGCTGTCCTTATTATTGAACTTGTTTGCATTTCATAAATTAACCTTGCTTGCTTTACTTCTACCAATTGTAATTATGACCTATGTCTTGTCATCTTTAGTTCTACTTCTATGACATCTAAAGTGGTGTGTACTGTGAGTATAACAGGAAATCTCCATTGCGGCCAATGTACCCCAAAAAGAGATAGGAAAGTATATCAAGATTTTGGGAGAAGCTCTGCAATTAAGTCAGCCCATCAATAGCAATTCCATATCAGTCCATATGCCAAGGTTCTGCACGCTTCTCCAACTCAATAAATCTGCTCAGGTACCATAATTTCATTTCTTATATCTGGTTAATGAACATTATGGTTTCTGTAGTCTTGACTTATTGATTGGTGTGCATGGTAATGTTGAAAAGAGGATTTGTATGGACTGTAGATAGTTGGATCTATTCAATATGATCAAAATTTCTGCAGCACTAAATACATCTTGAAAGGTAATTTCATTGAATTCTCAAATGTTCTAGGTAAAAAGCATTATGGAGTTTATATAATTTTTATGTTCTAGTAGTGGTATTTGATTTCCTGGCTTCTCAAGATAATTAATAAATTACATGCATCGTGATCAAGGATAGGGGCTAACAGCATGACAAATCCTAAAACTCCCCAACTTGGGAGCTTAAAACCCCCTCAACTTAGGAATATTTAAAAAACCCCTATAATTGACTCATCCAAGGAGTAGCTATAGGGATCTCTATGCAATAAACACATCTAGAGACCAAAAAGAGACTGATTTCTACAACATCTACTAAACCCCTATACTTATCCTATAAAATTAAGTCCAATTAAATGAATCCAGTAACCTCACAAGGTGGCTAAAAGAAAGTTCACCGAGAGAACTCTGGTTGTTCTTGGAAAAATATTTTCTTTTATCTTTTATTTTGCTTCAGGCTATTTAAAATACTGTTCAGGAACAGATTGGTTTCGTTATAACTTATAAGGCCAAGGTCATTTGTTTTTGTGCAATGAAAGCTATCATTTCCTGAAATGTAGTTGATAGGATTGTCAAATCTTCAAGGATAAATTTAGAGAGCTAGAGGAAGTTTGGTAGATGTACGAGAGGAACAATATGACACCTCCCACGTAACATAAACAAAGGGAGGTTTCGAAGTACCCTGCATTAAATACCAATCTTTCACAGTTGTGTAAAGTCTATATTCATCCCTTCAAAGACTTGGTATTTCTTCTCAACCACAGCTTCCTTAACGTAGCTTTTAGCCTTTCACCACGTTGTCCCAAAGCAGTTTTCTTCTGAGTTAGTAACTCAAATGTGTTTCTAATAAATGCCAACTGGAGTATTTTTCTGCTGTCTTCTTTGGCTTAGAGTGGATCGTCTCATCTCCCCCTTGTTTTCTTGTATTCTCCTCGAGTGGAAATAGTTGTTTCTTTCTTAAAAAATTGTCCTTTATGGCCCTGGCCTGTAAATGGACCTTTATGAGCCTCTAAAATATCTTTTATACCATGACCAATGCCCCAGTTGGTCCTATACATGTGACCCGCTATCAGGAAAAGAATTGCAATAGCTAAATGATGGTGTGCAATATCGGTTAACCATAGACCCCCGGTTACTGGATCTAATCCTCCGCGAAAAGTAAGAAATTCCGCATATTTTGACCAATTCAAAGTGAAAAATGTCTCTTTCTTTTTCTAAAAGCATAAGTAGTAAACATTTTTGACTAGGGTTCCCATACATGCAAACATACAAAAGAAAATAATCTTCATACTGCAATTTTCTTTCTATTTGTGTTGTGTGTGTTTCTTGAAAATTTTAATTTCCATATTGTGATTCTCTTTCTGTTTGTGTGCGTGATGGCCTTTAGATACACTTTTTTTATAACCTTAGAAATCGGTTTTTTTTTCCCAATAAATTAATATCAAATAGAAAAGTGATTTGTGATTTATATTCATGTCAACTTTGCACAAGTAAAGCTCTTCTTCTAGCTTAATAAGAATCTTGGATACGGTAACAATCTTTTGCCGTTTTCTCCTTAAACTCCAAGTATATGGTAACATGTAATGATATTTTCTCTCTATCATGCTTGTTGATAATTACTATGAATTTTAGGAACTGGCAACTCATATTGGGGAAGTTGTCATCAACAAATGCTTCTGCACTCGCAGGAATCCCATTAGCATCTCTGCTGCCGCTATATATTTGGCTTGCCAATTAGAAGACAAGCGGAAGACGCAAGCAGAAATTTGTAAGGTTACAGGTCTCACTGAAGTTACCCTCCGGAAAGTCTACAAAGAGCTACTAGAAAATTGGGACGATTTGCTTCCATCTAATTACACTCCTGCGGTTCCTCCTGAAAGGGCATTTCCAACTACTGTAATTGCTTCAGGCCGTTCTTCAGCTCCTAAAGTTGATGCATTTGAAGGGACTTCGTTAGATAAGGACAAAGAGACTAAACCAAATATTATACCCATCGAGATCTCCGACATGGGTCATCCATCCAGAGTCAAAGAAGATAGTGAGAGTAAATTTGTATCCCGTGGGATGTATAACCCCGTGACCAACAGGTCAACAACTTTTTGTCAACCACATCCTGCTAAAGGGACTTCTGTTGCAAGTACTGCTGGAAAGAAGAGTCAAAGCGATAACCAGGGAATGGATATTGTTAAGGAGCACTCCAACAGCTAACAGTAAGAGCAGAAGGTGTATGAAGCATGGATGCTCCACACCACAGTCACCAACATTGCCATCGGATTCCTGTATCATGTTCAACTAGCAAGTAACAAATTTTAACTAGCCGTTTATGCTATAGTGGTTCAACGGAATGAAATGGTGTCCAAATGGAAGAAAAATGATGCTAGAGATAGATACATAGTAGTATTCTGGTACGAAGCAAACATTTCCTTGCTTTTGTATGGGAGAACGACCCTCTCGTTAAAGCACATAGTACTAAGTTCCATGTATAAGGCCACGTCAACTCCATTATGAAGGAGAATTCACTGTTTCCGACAGGATTAAGGTACGCATAACTAATTACTCCCATACCAAGTTTTAGTTTAAAACTCTCATCACACACTTTGATTATTGCCTTTTACATGTCTGAACTACCAAACTATGTAAAAGTTGGTCAGGGGACTGTATAAGTTGTAAGGAGGAGAGTCTTAGGGGCATGTCTAATTAGTGTAGGAATTTCAGTGCAGGGTAGGCTTTTTGTATGCGTTCGGGCTCTTTTGACTCATCTATCTAATATATCCCAAGGGAGATGCCTACATAATTATTTAAATTTAATTACTCGTCTCTTAATGAAGACCGTTGGTTTGGTCCAGATTTTAATCAAATATTTGTAGTATTCCACGGAAGGATAAGGTGTAAAGTCAGGTCTTTACAGAACCACCATTTCCCCCTCTCCCTCTTTCCCTCTCTCTCTTACATACACACACACAGGACAGACATAGTCTGAGAAAGTTGGGAAAGATGCTGCTGCAGCTGTCAGCACTCTCGTCAGTACGACCATTGCCGCTCAATCGTTTGGATTTCGCATGTAAGCCAGCGAGTTCAGGGACGGCACTGAAGATCCATG